CGAGGGTGTTCCCACAAACTACAAGCGCAAAATACCAAACTAGGTCCTTAGCAGTACCGCACACGACCCAAGTTCACTCAGACTCAGGTTCAAATTCATCCATTCATGAATCCACATCATTAAAAGTAAATGAGTGGTTATAAACAGCTGACAGTTATGATTTTAATGTTCCCTTATAAATCAAATTCCTTTAGATACCGAGAAAATTACATCGTATGATTCCCACTGGTGTCGTCATATGAATATCGTGCTCATCATTAATTATCTTTATCACCGTGAAATATTCAGGGATTGATGATAGATATAATACCAGTGTTTGTGATGTATGGAAGTGCTATGTGAATTCGTGGAAACTTGCTTTGAGAAACTGTAAATAATTATGAATATCATTATCTACTTAATTATTATTATTCATTCGCCAATTCTGATTATATATCTATTTATCTATCAATTCACCCTTTCTATAATCATAATTGATCACATCTATAATCTATATTGTTTCTATATTCATAGATACTGACATTATAAATTCCTATTCTTGCCATAACAACTAGTGACATCACAAATTCATACTGTTTATATATATATATATATATATATATATATATATATATATATATATATATATAATTCTAGCTGAACAACATCACTTATTTTTGTTTCGATGATTGGAACTCACATCACCAGTTCATATTGTTCCATAATCATAACTGGTCACATCACACTTATATTGTTCCTATAATTTTAACTGCCCCTTTACCTAGTTCAGATTATTCCACAATTATGATTGGTCAAATCACTTAATCATTTTGTTCTTGTAATCTTAATTAGACTCATCAGTTGTTAACATTGTTCCATGATTATAAACGGTCACATCATTAATTTTTTTTTTTTATAATCATAAATAGTATTATCCCTTATTCATAATTTTCTATAAGTATAATCATAATCAATGTAGCTACAAAATAATATCTGAACTATTTGAAATATCTATAACTATTTTTAAAGTAAATTTCGAGAGAGAAAAAATATATATATTTTCTAGGAAAAAAAATGTTTGATACTGATGAATGACATTTGGTTATAAATGGAAATAAATGACTAGATCTAGATTTCACTGGGCCGGAATCCCGAAAAAAAAAAATCTTACTGATGAAGAATATAATCAATCTATATTTCATTAGTTCTTCAAATCAGTATGATTTTATATATATATATATATATATATATATATATATATATATATATATATATATATATATATATATATATATATATATATATATATATATATATATGTGTGTGTGTGTGTGTGTGTGTGTGTGTGTGTGTGTGTGTGTGTGTGTGTGTATAATAATACATACATACATATATAATAATATATATATATATATATATATATATATATATATATATATGTATATATATATATATATATATATATATATATATATATATATATATATATATATATAGAGAGAGAGAGAGAGAGAGAGAGAGACAGACAGACAGACAGACAGACAGACAGACAGACAGACAGACAGACAGACAGAAAGAAAGAAAGAAAGAGAGAAAAACAGACATACCAAACCCTATCTAACCAGCACCTCCCGGCACGCACTCCCCTTTCAGACGATCGAAATCGACGACCTCCTGCTGACCCGCGCCCAGGCAGCCGCCATCGCCAGCAGGAAGGCGGTGAACAACGTGGCCCAACACTGGCCCGACGAAAACGGTTTTCCTCACGTGCCCTATACTTACGAGGACAGTGAGTGTTTGCGTGGCTGGTTTACGTGCAAAAACGCACAGGCACACAGACATACACGTACAGGCACACAGACATACACGTACAGGTACACATACACGAACAAGCACACACAAATACGCGCACAGGCATACACGTACAGGCACATAGACATACACGTACAGGCACACAGACAAACACGTACAGGCACACAGACATATACGTACAGGCACACACACATACACGTACAGGCACACAGACATACACGCACAGGCACACACACATACACGCACAGGCACACACACATACACGCACAGGCACACACACATACACGCACAGGCACACACACATACACGTATTCTACGTCTGATAAGGAAAGCTAGACCATCTCGAAATGTCATTTTTATTTCGTATCTATTAAGATAATTGTTCTATTTTGATTACCTGTACGCTTTATTGTACATTATTATTATTATTATTCTTTATTATTCTTTATTATTCCATAAGCTATAGAAAGTTACGACACCAAACTAAGAGCATAACCACAGACCCTGAACCTACTCACGGCCCTGACAATCCATCCCTTATCAGTTTCCACTAACCTCACAACAACCACAAGAATACACTCCAAACTCTTACACCAAAGCGAGCCACCTCAACACCCCCACACACCCCCTTTTTTTAACCACACAGCCCTAGTGGACAGGACAGCAGTCGAGGCGGCCATACAGCACTGGAGAGATCACACCTGCATCA